CTTAAGAGATCTGTATGCATTTGTGCAATATTTGCTGTTTAAATACACACAGATTTCTTAAGATTTTTCATATTGCTATCCTTGCTTTACTCAGTGTGAGTTACAGCAAATATGAATTATCCGCTGTAACAAATTTCGCTTAGATCATATATACATGCTACTATAGTCGAAGATAACACATATAAATTTTGGTCCCGATTGAAGTCGGTTAAGGCGTGTCGCGTAGGGGTCAAAATTCAGATTACCCTATGACGACGTCTTAACCGTCTTCAATAGAGACCAAAATTTTGAATGTGATATCTTCGACTATGATAGTATCGATTTTGGGTATTAGATGAAAAAAAAAAATATTATTTTATTTTTTTGAGTCTCCATAGAGACAAAGTACCACCCTAATGTACATACATACCCATCTATGATATAATTGTATGAATTTTAGACTAAAATTTAAACTAATATGTCGCAGACAAAGAACTAGCATTTCAATTATCTGTGGAGCTATGTAAATAGTAAATACAATAAAATAAATAGATTCATAGTTATGTATGTACTGAGTTACATATGTATGTATATTCACAAATTCAAATGTTATTTTTAGTTTACTAATAGCAAATATGTAAGTACGTAGAATAAGAACATACTTATACAAGTTGTATGTTTTTAAGCTCAAAGTTATGTAGATATGTATGCACTTAATTTTATATCCTGCTGACGCAAAAGCTTTCATAACTTTTGCTAAGCGTATGGTTAAAACACCTAAATACATATAATATAAAAATTGACAATTATACATATATCTATATATATATTTACATATATACACGTGATACCTACCTGTAGACTAGGTATGTACGTCAGCATACATACTCCCTGTGTTGGCGATATTCATAGAAACAGTATGCTGTCACTTGTGCGTAATACGACACGTTTCGTATACAAACACACAAATAAATGCATATATTTAGTATATAAAATAAAATTAATAAGACCTGCACGTGTTGAGAAGTGTGAAAATTGTGTAGAGCATACAACTGCACGCACAAACAAACAAGCACACATGCATATATTCGTGCAAAACTATAAGTAAAATGTGTGAAAAAAACTGAGCTTGCATTAGAAACATTTAACGTATTTACTTCCGTGGACACTACTGCTGCTGGCGTGCCGTAACGGAAGGTAGAAAAAAGCGTGATTGAATAGGTTTGATGAGGATTTGCATCTGACAAGTTTTATTAGAGACACAACACGAAAGAATGAAATTATGAAGAATTAAAAATTATAAACTCGATAAAGTAAAATGTCGCTAAATGCTGTTATAAGTTTTTAATTTTTCTTAACTTTGCTTTTAGCGCGAAAGGGAAGACCATTGAAAATGGTAGAAAAAAAACGCTAAACGAGGAAAAACGTTTTTTTTTAAACATTGCTTTCAGGGAATGTGTGAACTTATGACAATGATACACAATGGCAAAATAAGCAAATAAGTAGAAAAAAATATAAATAAAAAAAAAGATTTGTTCCATGATGCCAGCGAAGAAGTTTCAACTTATAAAAATATTGTAAATACAAATTAAAGCTATAAAAAAAACAAAAACATTTGAAATGAAAAGTTTGAACTTGCAAATTCGATATAAAAACTAACGTAAAATAAAAAATAAATAAAAATATTTTTAAAAGAATTTTTTTTGTTCTTTGCTGTCAGCGAAAAAACTTAAACTTATAGAAATGATATGCATAAAACTAATACTATAAAAAAAACGTTTTGTGAAAAAAAAAATATATTTTTTTAACTTTATTTTCAGCAAAATAGTGTGAACTTATACATATCGTATAAAACGTAGCAATAAATAAAGGAAGTACAAAAAAAAAAATTGTGTTTGAAAGACGTTTTTTTGTCCTTGCTGTCAGCGAAAAATTTTAATTTAACGAAAAATAAAAAAATGTTAAAAGATTTTTTTTGAACTTAAGTTTCTGCTGAAAATTGCGAACTTATGTATAAATATTATATAAAAGGTAACTCTAAAAAAATATAAGTATCTGAAAAACATTTTTTTTAAGAATTTTTATTGAACTTTTGCTTTCAGCGCAAAAGTTTGAACTTATAAAAATAGTATGAAAAGTAACGCTAAATAAAAATAAAAAAGTATTGTAAAAAGAAATTGTTTACTTCATTGCTGTCAGCGAAAGAGTTTGAGCTTTTAATGTATATAAATTGTAACGCTAAATAAGAAAAAGAAAAAAAATTAAAAAAAAAGTTCTTTTAAATTTTTTTTTTGGACTTTAGTGGAAAAGTGTGATTCTAAAAAATGTTATAAATTGTCACGCTAAATAAAAACAAAAATTGTGCCAATAAAAAGTTTTTTTTTGTAAACTTTGCTTCACCGAAAAAGAGTGAACACCATTAAAAATAAAAAAAAATGATCAACGATTTTTTTTCAAGATTTTTTTTTTTTAACTTTGCTTGCACCGAAAAAGTGTGATGTTATAAAAGGCCGCGCTAAAAAAAAAAAAAATTTTAATAAAAAAAATATATATTTTTTTTAGAAAATTGTTAGTTCATTCCTGTCAGTGAAAAGTTGTGAACTCATAAAAACTGTATAAAACCCAACGCGCTATAAAAAAATTTCCTTAAAAATTAAAGAATTTGAAAGTGCTTTTTTTAATTTTATTCGAAACGATTTTTCTGAAATTAGGTACTAAAATTGTTTAAAATGTTTTTTAGCAAACATTTCATTAAAATATCTTGGCGATGTGAAAATTTTCCAAGATTTAAGGAATGAGAGTGAATTTTGAATTGAACATTACCGCTTAGTTAAAATTCAGCTCAATTTACTTGAAAAAAAAGATCTAAAAGCTCACAAAAACGACAACAAAAATCCAGCAAAAAACATTAAATAAACAAAACCAACAACCAACAAAATCTTCATCGAATTAATTAAAACGACGAGTGGTAGTTGAGTCAGTGAGTTGCGAAATTCAACGAAAGCTATTATGAAAGTGCATACAACAACAAGTCAATTGGAGTTTTTAATATTATTAAAATCCAAAGCAAAAATCAAAACAAAAGCATTGCAGCAACAACAGCTGCATCAGCAGTCACGGCAGCCACAAAAGCAGCTGTTAATTAAATTTCCAAGGAAACAGCAAAAGCAAAATCAACAAAAGTTGCAAACAAAACAAACCATAAGCGCGGCTGCATTTAAAACGCTTAAGCAACAACAAGCAGCAGGGAAACAAAAACAAACACGACAAACACAAAAACAACAACCAGAAAATCAACAACAACATCAACGCTACAACAAGCGCAAGCACTTATTGCTGCTGCTCAACCAACATCCTCCGCTGCAATTGTGCCATAGCAAATTGGCTTTCATAGCGCTGGCACATTACTGGCTACAACAAAAATCCGCGACACCGGTCAACGACGCAGTCGATACAGTGCCCGGTAGTAAATCAAAATTAAATTCTTTAAAACGGAGGGACTAACATTCGCATTGCTGGCGGGCCCCATGGGCCAGGCTGCAAGTATGTGCCGATTTCGTGGATGTCGCTACAAAAAGAATAAGTCTAATAAGAATACAACAACAACGACGCAAGCAACAACAGCCGCAACTGAAGAAGCAGCAGCAGTGGCGCAAGCAGAGGTGGCATCAGAGGCAGCAGCAACAACGGCCGATACAACAACAACGGCTGCAGCAGCAGCAGCAGCGGCAGAACAGATTGCAACGAGTACGGCGACTAGTACGCCGGTGTCAGGTGAGAAGGGAGAAGGGGATAAAAAGGGTAGGCGGAGGATATACGTAAAACAAGCAGACGATTGTTAGGAGCGTTAAACAAACAAATAGGAGATGCATAATTAACTTTAGGATTTCTCATATTGAAAACTTTTGCAGAAAGGCAGGGACGGCGGGTCGTATGAGCAACTTTAGAGATATCTATGGTTACGGTGACCATCCGTTCTGTTTTTTGCAGGACCGTACTGTTATTTAAAGGTCTGTCCTGCGTAGTTTTTCAAAACAGAAAACCCCCAATATGTACTGGTTTTTTCCACATGTCCTGCCTTTGTCCCGCATTTTCTTCGATATTTTAAAATTCGCTTTTCCTAATCGAAATAAAAGCAGTGTCGATAACTAATTGATAACTACATAAGGGTAAGCTGCTTTTGAAGGTTCAACTAGTTAATGCGTTCTAAATATTGTACGGTTATGGACAATGGATGACGAGAAATTGAAGACCAGCATCAAATATATCGATGACACTGTTCTACAAATTTTGTGGTAATCGCTTAAGAAAAAAAAATTTTCCAAGCAAATTTTCCTTTCGAACAAGCGTTTTCGTAATATTTTCAAAAAACGTGTTTTTGGTACATTTCGAACCTATTCATCAATATCTCATGAAAAAATTATCCAATCAATATAAGCTACCTACAGTCCTTATACAAAAATATATTACTTTGCCGATTTCGATGAAAATTATTAGTGTTACAAGCGACCAAAATCGAAAAATTGAAATTTCAATCATTTTCGTTTTACAGTAAATGAAAATCTGATGAGAAATGAAGATGTTACGGAACACAATCTGCACAAAAAATATATATTTTTGCAAAGAGCCCATCAATACCTTTCGAACTGCTGGTCGTTTCATGAGATATTGAGGAATAACTGAAAAAGTACTAAAAATATGTTTTTCGAACAAATCTCGAAAACACTTCTTTGAAACCATGGGGTATTTTTTTCGTGTTCAACGACCCAACGACCAGTTTGCCTAAAAAATTTACTAAAATTACTAAAAGATTAATACCAATGAAGCAAATGTGATTCATGTTTAAAGTTTAAAATTGGATTAATAATTAAGAAATATACACTCTTCGTTATTTGAATAGCGCATCCTTTTAATACTTAGTAGGTACAGTTTCCCTTTTGTTTGTTTAATATACATTAACTTTTTATAAAAATATAGCATATTTACGTCTACAGCCCATTTTTAAAAATTTTGAAAATTAAAAAAAAAAATAAACAGGGGAGACAATTTTTTTTTGACGGTGCTGCGCATTTTCTTCCATACTTTGTATTGTAGAAAAACAAAAAATGGTGCGCTATTCAAATGACGAGGAATGTATATATGTAGTATATTTTTGTTATTTTTATACTACGCTGTTATATGTAGGTAAATTTTTTTAAAAATTGTCCTGCACTTTCAAAATATATTTATGGTCACCGTATCTATGGTCCTCTGTAGGGATGCAAAAATATGCGTAAAATTGTGATTCCGGGATTTCGGGTTATTTTTTTTTAAGTAATCCCGGGATCTTGGGATTTATCCTGAGATTCACTTTGAGACATAACTTTTATGAATATGAGTAAAAATTCAATAACTGAAAGCAATTAAACATACCATGAAATAAAACGATTTAAAATTTACGATAAATTGATTGTAAAACTCACATATTTATTAATACAAACAAATCTTAAAGTAATAAATTTTTTAAATTGTATTAAAAAAACCATGTGATTGGGGAACGCATACATTGGCGATCAAAAGTGAGTGCATGGTGGTATTTGTCAAATATTTGCAATGTTTTTCAAGTTCAAATTTTTTCTGTTATTTTTTTTTTATAAAATTATAGTTTCTGCTTTAATCAAAACCACATAAGTAAAACTTTCAAACTTCATACAGGATGTAGAAAAATTCTTATCTAAATTTTGTACATTTTAATCGGAATTTTTAGAAAAATAAAAGAAAATTAAAAAGAAATTAAATAAATTTAAAATTAATACATATATTAATTAACAAATTTTTTTTTACTAAAATTACAATTATCTCTGAAAGTATTAGTCCTACATAACTTGGTATCATAACCTTTTTTGTAGAGCATTAAATTTACGATCGACGTAAGCTAAGACATTTTTTTGAACACATTTAACTTTAATGGACTTGGGCGAGCCTAAGATATTGACCAAAATTTTTCATCTTTCGCTGGGATTTTTCAGAGCATAATGAAACATACTTTTGCTATTAGAAATAGAAGCACAAAAAAGCGGATTTTCGGCCCACGCTACTGCATACCCAAAATTTTTTTTTTTTTCGCAATTTACTTTGCTCAACATTTTGATGGTGTATGAGTCAAACGGATCTCAGATTCGGATTAAGCGGGTTGAAATACATGTTGGTAGGTGGGTCTAGTTAAAAGCACACACCCTTTTTTGCCGGTTTATTATTGCACTTAAAATGTTTACATTAGAGCAGCAAAGCATTCAAAGCGGAGTCTTCTAATCTTGACCTGAAGTTATTACATACAAAAACCTGCTGATGATAAACATCTTTCGGCCTCAACACTTTTAGGCTGAACTGTCAAAAGGTAGTCAAAAGCCATTTGAAAATTACATTACAAAATATTTGTACTACAACTTTCTGTTTCATTTACATTAGCGGCGCTATGAGTATATTCATTTAAATCTTCTTCAAAAAAGGCTCAGGCTGCAATTTTAAAAGTACAGTTTTAAGCTTTTTGTTAATTGTAGTCAAAACGGAATTTTACTAAAATCATAATTCAAATTCTTAAACAAGCTCGTACTGTCAATTAGATATTTCAAATTTTTCGGTATCCCGGGAATGATGCAAGCAAATCAACACGACGCACAGTGCCGCGAAGGTGGACAAAAATACAAAAATCGTCTGTCTTGAAACTTAGATGTTTTGATGTCAAGTTACAGCTAAATCTCCAACTAAGAGAAGTTCATAAGTTATTTTGTGATAAAAACAACTTTCAGCCCCACACACCCCCTCAAAGTACACCTATTTTCTACATACCATTTCATTTCGGCGATTCGCACATAAAAGTGGTCGCAGTTAAAAATTTGTTAAAAATACATTTTTATTCCTAGCAAGATCAACTTTTGCACTTTGATAAAGATATATGCGACAAACCAAGAAATGTATGGTTCATGGAAAAAAAATTTATACAAATATTTTTTTTTTATTAATAAATAAATATATGATTAAACATACCAAAATCCGAAAATTGGTAAACTTTGGAGACAAAAAAAAAAAAACATCTTGAAAGTTCGTGAAATTTTTTTTTTGGTTATGGTAGTTTGGACCTTCTACTAACAGAAACAATCGAAATCTCTTCCAACTTTTTCCAATATTTGAAAATTTTCAATTTTGAAAAAGTGACTAAATGCCTTTTTTTTGGTATTATTTTAGCTGATCTATATTTACAATACTTTTTCTGAATGCCCTAAGATCTAAATTTTTGGTTCGCTTTTCAAAAATAAGGTATTGAATTAAAGCTAAAACTGCCAAAAAAAAAAAATTAAGAGGTACAGGGGGCTTTGAAATGAAACAAATTATCAGCTAATTAAAATACTTAAATATGCATCACGGTATGGGAGCCAAAAACAAAGGTATACGAAGATTTACATATATATATATATACATATATATATATATATATAGAGCAATGACACCAGTTTACAAATAATATGTTAACCAATGATTAGACGAAAGGCGAACAAAAAGCAAATAAAAATAAATAACATACCTATTACTCTTCATCTGCATAAAGAGTACTATTTTGCTTAAGCAGCAAACAGCTTGCGAAAATGATAGTACAAATGTATGCACATCATGGAGGTCCAATTTTTTTATATATTTTTTTTTTTTTGATTGAGTCTTTTTATAATTTTGTTCACCTAACTAATTGCATTACCTGTGCAAAAATTTCAACGTTTTACTATTAGTGGAAAATGTAGCTCAACGCGAGTTTAAAATTTCATGAATTTTTCTCTGGTGCTAAGAGTCCTCTCTTGTGGAAAACAAATAAAAACCCAAGAGTTTAGTGTTTTGTTGAACGAAACAAGAGAGTTATACCTTAGAAATTATGGTTGGTATAACATGCCAAGTTCAGTGCATAAAGTTTTAGTACGTGGACGTGATGTAATTAAATACTTTGATTTACCAATAGGTAATGATTTTAAAGCTATGTTTTCATTTATTTTCTTATTCTGTATTTCCACCTATTTTATCAGGTTCATTATCAGAAGAAGCCTTAGAATGTTCACACAAAAACATAAGAAAATATCGGCTTAATCGTTCTCGAAAAACTGGAAGAGTACAAAGCAATACGGATTTAATGACTCGTTTGATATTATCGTCAGATCCATTAGTTGCATTTAAAAGAAATATAAAACAGAGAAACAAATATTTAAAGGGTTCTGATCTCAGCTTTAATAAATACAGTGTTGAAAGTGACGAAGCAGACAAAAGCATGGAATCATTTGAATCAGTGATCACTTCCTCCTCTTCTGAGGACTCTGAAACTGAGTGATTATAACAACTAGTTCGGTTTTTATTAACATATTATATGTTATTACCATATAACAGCTATTATTACTTACTTACTTAACAGTGATTATGCTTTATTTTAAATGAAATCAAAAGAATTTTTTTTTCTAAAGGTTAACATGTAAGGAAAACCGACTTAATTTTTCAAATTACCATAATGTATTCATTTAGGAAGTAAAGTTTAGACGAATTTTGACTATTAAGACTATTTTTCTGAACACTTAGCAACAATGATATGCCATATTTCATTTTTAAATAATCATGTGCAAAAACTCGGTGTTTTTTTAATGGGTACCCGTTACAAAAAAACCGATTACTTTCTTAAAATTAGAGTAATATAGACACTTCAGATGTAAAGTTTCAATAAATTCTGACGACTCCTTCCTGTTTTCGTAAACACCACAATCAGC